AGTGAAGTGTATAAATAACTGAGCCAAGAGATGAAGTGAAGATGGCTTTTGTGTTTTTGGGACTTATTTATCTTCTATAACTTACTTGCTGAACCCAATTTCCTAATGACATGTAGGAGAATTGTTTGTTTTGTTTGATCTGCATTGTGACATCAAAACAATGCTAATAATTAAAAGGAAAAGTGAGACAAAATCAACCTGTGTTGCTTGATTCTGTTCTACTGTACAAAAGTGTTGTTTCCCATACAGCAAAAAATATATCTTTTGCGACCAAAATATATACCAAAATATATAAATGTATGCCAAATATATGTTGTAAACAGTGAAGCTCAATGAAATTTTTTTTTAAATAGAAAATATATTTAGTTTCAACCCTCATATACAAAAATTACAAAAAATATATTTCAGAATGTGTTTTCTTGGATTGAACATAATAGTGCAAAAGATATATATATTTGTAATGTTTTTAAAATTATTATATTTATATTATATAATTATATAATTTTAATTTTTTTTATATATTTCAAAACATATACAAAAAAAGTGGTAATCATGCGTTCAGAATATGAGCATACTATGCACAGTATACATACTACATAGATGTAGAATAGAGTGAGTAGCTTTGCTGTTCCGAGGCCTACTAGTACCCTTGTATCTGTGCAGGCATGATGCCATCTAGTGGAAAACGTGAAGCTTAAAAAAAGACAATTATGATATTCATCTACTTTGTATTTTATCAAGCAACAAAACGCGCCAGTTCTGCAGCTATATGTGTGATAGTCATAGACGTGTGTTATGCATGGTTAAACGTTCAAATCAGTAGGATGGAGGACCCCTTAGCACAAATGTATCTCTGGACATTTTTCATACTTGATTTATAATTTATGTCATTGTCACTGAAACCTTGAATAACTATTAGACACATTGAACTTTGCTTCAAAGAAAAAATTGTGAAGCAAATTGTTTTGCCTCTCAGTGTCTGTGATTAATCTGCTGCATTTATTATTTTTGCTATAGAATATGTATTATATGCACTAGAATCACATATTTTTACATACATTTTGTGCGGTTACAGTTTATTAATTTATTTAATTTGATCTCATAAACTACAATGAATGCTGGCGCTTTTAGTGTAATCCAGTAACCTCATTGGTTGTTTTTAAAATGGGCGTGGATTTGACGTGACAAGAATAAAACGCGCCGAGACCACAGACTGTATAAAAACAGGCCGAGACCTTCCTGTCGTCCATTTTGGTGCAGCTTCTTCACTGGTAAGGCGTTTCGCTATATTTACGATGCATGCACTTTAGTTGTTGTGTTTTATTTCTCCTTCTACCAAGGGGGCATTATTGATTATATAT